AGTCCTAGAGTTTACCCTCATCAGTTACATTTCCAGCTTGCCTCATGGCACCAATGACTGTGTATATGTGCAATAATTGCATTATTTTTTTTATCTTCTTTTCCTCACTCTGTGTGTGTAAGCTGAGGGACTTCCAACAATGCTTCATTAACCTCTTTTATCAATTTTATGACATCTCTGGTGAAAAGTCAAGACAGAAATAAATGCCCCCTATATAACTGTAATGCAGCAATGCATGTGTCTGGAACCTATTACCTCCAGCTTTATAGCTGTAACTTTTCAAAAACTGTGTCTACTAATAATATTTTGTATCAATTGAACCATCAGAGTGGAGGCATTAAACCCAGATTTATGGTTGATTTAACCTTCTTAGAGGAAGATGGAAAGGTGGCCGGTGTCAACGAATGCCTCCCATAACATTTCCAACTTATTATGCTGTCTAAATATTCAAGAAATTCTGTTTTATTATTAGGCCATGAGACATGTAAGAAATTACATATTCTGCAAGGTTTCTTCGGACGTTAACCCCACATTACAGGGCATGAAGAGCAAAAGAGCCCACATCCTGGACTCCTTACAGAAGAATCAGTCTTATTTAAATGTTCAATCCAGACAGTGAAAATTTGGATTTTTAGGTTTCGAATAGTCGCTGACCGGCACTGCTATTAACCCAGCATGTTAATCATGCTTGCTATTATTTCATGACTGTTGGATATTTTCTGAATGTTTCCTCATCTCACATCATTTGTATTTGAAAGCTTGGCAGTTGAACTGATAATGGGTATACATTGGATACCACAGCTGAGTATGGGCATATGCTGGATACTGCTATGGATATTGGATATAATGCTGGATAGTTTAATCAATTGCCCTTCGGAAAGTTTTACCCCCTTCATGACCAGACCATTTTTTTGGTATTCAGCACTGTGCTTCTTTAACTGGCAATTGCACAGTCATGCATCTCTGTACCCAAATTAAATTATCATTTTTTTCACACAAATAGAGCTTTCTTTTAGTGGTATTTGATCACCACAGTATTTTTTACATTTTTATTACAGGTGAAACTCGAAAAATTAGAATATCGTGCAAAAGTTCATTTATTTCAGTATTGCAACTTAAAAGTTGAAACTAATATATGAGATAGACTCATTACATGCAACGCAAGATAGTTCAAGCCTTGATTTGTCATAATTGTGATGATTATGGCTTACAGCTCATGAAAACCCCAAATCCACAATCTCAGAAAATTAGAATATTACATGCAATCAATAAAACAAGGATTGTACATAGAACAATATCGGACCTCTGAAAAGTAGAAGCATGCATAGGTACTCAGTACTTGGTTTGGGCCCCTTTTGTAGCAATTACTGCCTCAATGTGGCGTGGCATGGAAGCTATCAGCCCGTGGCAGTGCTGAGGTGTTATGGAAGACCAGGATGCTTCAATAGCGGCCTTCAGCTCTTCTGCATTGTTCAGTCTCATGTCTTTCATCTTTCTCTTGGCAATGCCCCATAGATTCTCTATGGGGTTCAGGTCAGGCGAGTTTGCTGGTCAATCAAGCACAGTAATCCCACGGTCATTTAACCAGGTTTTGGTGCTTTTGGCAGTGTGGGCAGGTGCCAAGTCCTGCTGGAAAATGAAGGCAGCATCCCCATAAAGCTCCTCTGTGGAAGGAAGTGCTCCAAAATCTCCTGGTAGACGGCTGCGTTGACCCTGGACTTAATGAAGCACAGTGGACCAACACCAGCAGATGACATGGCTCCCCAAATCAACACAGACTGTGGAAACTTCACACTGGACTTCAAGCATCTTGCAGTGTGTGCCTCTCCATTCTTCCTCCATACTCGGGGTCCTTGGGCCTCTTCATTCTTCCTCCATACTCAGGGTCCTTGTGTCTCTCCATTCTTCCTCCATACTCTGGGTCCTTGGTTTCCAAATGAGATGCAAAAGTTGCTCTCATTAGAAAAGAGGACTTTGGACCACTGAGCAACAGACCAGGTCTGTTTTTCTTTAGCCCAGGTAAGACGCTTCTGACGTTGTTTGTTGTTCAGGAGCGGCTTGACAAGAGAAATACGACATTTGAAGCCCATGTCCAGGATCCATCTGTGTGTTGTGGCTCTTGATGCACTGACTCCAGCCTCAGTCCACTCCTTGTGAATGTCCCCAACACTTTTGAATGGCCTTTTCCTGACAATCCTCTCCAGGCTGCGGTCATCCCTGCTGCTTGTGCACCTTTTTCTTCCACACTTTTCCCTTCCACATAACTTTCTATGAATGTGCTTTGATGCAGCACTTTGGGAACATCCAACTTCTTTTGCAATTACCTTTTGAGGCTTTCCCTCCTTATGGAGGGTGTCAGTGATGGTTTTCTGCACAACTGTCAGGTCAGCAGTCTTTCCTATGATTGTGATTCCTACTGAACCAGACTGAGAGACCATTTAAAGGCTCAGGAACCCTTTGTAGGTGTTATGGCTTAATTAGCTGATTAGAGTGGGACGCTTTGAGCCGAGAATATTGCACCTTTTCACAATATTCTCATTTTCTGAGATTGTGGATTTGGGGTTTTCATGAGCTGTAAGCCATAATCATCACAATGATGACAAATCACGACTTGAACTATCTTGCTTTGCATGTAATGAGTCTATCTCATATATTAGTTTCACCTTTTAAGTTGCATTACTGAAATAAATGAACTTTTAATTCTAATTTTTTGAGTTTCACCTGTATATAAACAAAACAAAAAAAAGACCACGAAGTTTGAAAAAAAATATTTTCGACTTTTCTGTTCTAAAACATATCCTATAAAATAAAATTTCTTTATAAATGTAGGTCAAAATGTATTTTGCTACATTAAAAATGGATATACTGAATATTTCAACTGATAATGAGTATGCATTGGATAGTGCAAAATATACTGGATATATGCTGGATAGTGCAACTGATAATGGGTATATACTGAATAGTGCAGCTGATACTGGGTTAAATGCTAGATAGTTCAACTGATAATGGGTATATACTGAATAATTCAGCTGATAATGGGTATGTTTTGGATAATGCAAATGGTAATGGGTATATGCTGAATAGTTAAGCTGATAATTGGTATGTGCTGGATAGTGCAACTAATATTGGGCATGTTCTGAATGGTGCAACTGATATTGGGTATGTGCGGGTAATACAAATGAAAATTGGTATATGTTGAATTATGTAATTAGCAATGGGTATATACTGGATAATGCAACTGATAATAGGTACAGTATGTGCTAGATGGCTAGAGCGATTATGGCGAAAAACCAAATCTCACCAAGCATTCACCTGTCATAAATCTGCCATAACATACACTTCCTCCCTTCACGCTGCCAAACAAGCCTACTTTGTCACTCTCATCAATACCTTCTCTTCGAGTCCTCGTCGGCTCTTTTCTACCTTTAACTCTCTACTTTCTCCACCCCCACCGCCACCCAGCGCCTCACTCACTGCCCACGAGATTGCAAACCACTTCCAAAACAAGATTGACACAATTCGTAGGGACATCAGCACTACACAGACACCCACCCCACTTAGCATTCCTCATACCATACCTCCCTCAACACTCTCCTCCTTTGACCTCGCTACCACCAAAGAGGTCCTCAAGGTCTTCTCAGAAGCCCGCCTCACCACCTGCCCCCTGGACCCTGTCCCCTCGCAACTCCTTCGATCACCCTCCTCCTCCATCCTATGCTCCCTCACTCACATCTTCAGTCTTTCCCTCTCTACAGGTGCCTTCCCATGCCCTCTAAAGCATGCGCACATTATTCCCTTACTTAAAAAACCCTCCCTGGACCCCACCAACCTAAACAACCTTAGACCCATCTCCCTGCTGCCATTTACCTCTAAACTCCTAGAACTCTTAGTCTACAATCATCTGAGCTCCCAACTCACTGACAACAACCTTCTCGACCCTTTACAGTCTGGCTTTCACCCTCTACACTCCACTGAAACTGCCCTACTAAAACTCTCTAATGACCTACTAACTGCAAAAACCAACGGCCACTATTCAATACTCCTACTACTCGACCTCTCCGCGGCTTTTGACACGGCTGACCATCCCCTCCTCCTCCAAAAACTACACTCTCTTGGCCTCAGAGACTCCACTCTCTCCTGGTTCTCCTCCTATCTATCGCAGCGCTCCTTCAGTGTTACCAATAATGCTGCCACCTCTTCTTCACTCCCTCTCTCTGTAGGGGTCCCTCAAGGTTCTGTCCTTGGACCCCTTCTCTTCCCCATCTACACCTCCTCCCTTGGGTCACTTAATAAACTCTCACGGCTTCAAGTACCATCTCTATGCTGATGACACGCAAATCTATCTGTCTACCCCTCACCTCACCCCTTCAGTCTCCACTCGCATCACTAGCCTACTAAGTGACATATCGGCTTGGATGTCACTCCACTACCTCAAACTCAGATGAGAGATGTGTTGTGGGACTGCAAAGCAGGTAGCAGCTGTGGATTTTGAGAAAACGTATGACCGAATAGCGCATGATTTTATGTTTAGCGTGTTGGAGAGAATGGGGGTGCCTGAAAGAATGGTTAAGTGGGATAGGTGTCTATAAACGGACATTATGAGTAAGGTACAGGTGAATGGATGGGTGACTGAGGGAGAGGATGTGAGATCGGGTGTGAGACAGGGGTTTCCTTTGTCCCCCATGTTATTTGTGTGTGTCATTGAACTCTTGATAAGAATAAATATAAAGGATAAATGTGTGAATGGTTTGGTGGAGGGAGGATGTTGAAGGTGATTGGTTACATGATGTTACTGTGGTATGTAAGAATGTGGGGAGCCTGCAAAGAGTGAAACTGTTGATAGATATATTTTGTATGGCGAGTGGTTTCAGGATCAATATGGGAAAAAGTGAATGTAAATTTTTTGGTGAGTGGGGAGAGGTTGGACAGTATGAGTGGAAAGTGTGTAGGGGGAGTGTGAGAGTTCTGGGTGTGAATTTTGAAAGTGATTTGTTTGGGAGCAGGGGCGGACTGACAACTCATGGGGCCCCCTGGCAATAAGTGATCATGGGGCCCCTGTGTCCTTGCCCAAACTCAAAAAAGCCTATGAAAAAGGTACCAGGGGCATCTCATGGGGCCCCCTACTGACCCCGGGCCCTCGGGCAGTGCCCGGGTTTCTAAATGGTCAGTCCGCCCCTGTTTGACAGAGACATATGGGAGGCTGCGAGTGGCAAAATACAAAAAAAAAAAATTTTTGTCTTTAAGGACTTTATCTTTTGAGGGCAAGATATTAATTGTTAAAGCTGTACTACTACCTATCTTGTTCTTGTACCAGGTTTTTCCTGCACAAGATAGGGTATTGAGAAACATTGTTAGGATGGTCTTCCAGTTCTTCTGGTTTTCCAGAGCAGAAAAGCTGAAAAGAGAGAAAGTAATGAAGTGTAAGTTGAATGGGGGTAAGAGGATGGTATGTGTGGAGAGATTCTTGTTTGTACAGTATATGGGTATGTGTGTGAAGGTGTGTAAGGAGAATATGGCAGGTTGCATCCAAAGGTATTTTGGTGGGAATGTGTTACAGAAGTTTGGGTGACTTGAGAAAACCTATGAGTTTTAAAACTCCATGTTTTATGTACGGGTAGAAAGAGGCATAGAGAAGTTTGGGCTGAATGATGTGAAGAAAGAATTGTGGTATGAATGTAAGAAGGTGATGAAGGTATTGGATGGAAGAGAAGAAATGGAGTGGATTGGTGGCCTGACTGTTGTGGAAGAATGTGTGTATGAAAGAACTAGAAAATAGACAGAAAGATAATGCACGGATGGGAGTGCATGGTTGTTTGCCAGTAAGGGTGTTTCAACGAAGGAGAAGTATGGCTGATACAGCAAAAATGTCAGAGAGAGAGTTATATGGGATGAGAAAGTGTATTTCATTGTTTTGGGAGTGCGGTTTAGCTAAGGATGTATGGAAAAGCTTAGAAAGAATGGTTGAAGAGTTCTCTGGGATGAGGAAGTTGACGTATGAGATGGTGTTGTATAGTCTCGTGGAAGTTGGGAAGGAAGGAAGCAAGAGTGTTGTGGATGTTGGTGAGTTGCGTTAAGGAATGTCTGTGGGATGTAAGAAATATTGTAGTGTTTAAGAGAGAGTATTTGAGTGCGAGAGAATGCACAGCCATGTTTGCCTACAGTTATTTTGATTGTATGAAAATGGGTACAGAGGAGGCAGAAAGGATCTGGCATTTTAAGTCCTGGAAAGGGTGGACTGTTGTTTAATTTTTAGTTCACTACCAAAGATCCTTTTCTTGGCAACTAAGTTTTCTTTATGCTACCCTTTTTTCATTTTTAAAGCCTGACCGATTGTTGGGCGGCTATTAATGGGTTAGGAATATAGTTTCCTATTTACATTGCTGAATTCAGAAATTTGATCATGTTCCTATTGCTTTTTTTTTCTCTCTTAGGAAGCATACAAATGGTGGAGGGGGAGTGGGATAAGTTAGGGAAAGTGTAGGAGTCCTATGTCTAATGGATAGGGATAGGCACAATTTTTCCTTTTTCATGTGAATGTTCCTTTTGGAAGAAACTTGGGAAAAACCTAAAGGAAAATACAGAAGTTCTTCAAATTGCAATAAACTTCTGATATGCAGTGTTTGTTTTGCTCTTTTCCAATATGGCTGCTATGCTCTCTGGGCACTGAGGAAGAGATCATCAGGGAGAGCACTTGTGGAAAAGAGAGAAGTGTGGATTTTCTGCAGAGAGAGAGAGCTCAGGACTGTAAGTGTTGCAGCCTCCCCTCACTGAGACATGCAAAAAAGACTGTTAATGCTTTAATGTTCTTGTTTGGAAGATACTTTATGTTGGATGGTTCACTGAATGTTATTTCTTCAATACATGGACTTTCATATACAATGCTGTGTGGATTACTGTCTATGTGGAAGATACATTTCTCAGTTGGGATTTCACTTGTTATCCACAAGCCCCAATTGAGTGTTCTATCTTTTTTCTGTGTGTATTGGAAAAAAAAATCAGTGCTTATAATTGCATTTTCTTGTTTCTTTTTGCAAGTTGCTGTTTTTTGTTAATATGTATTATATCTTTGCTTTTGTGATGGAACTTGATTTTTGTTTATGTGATTGTATCTTGGAACTTTTTTTTTGCGTGACTGTATAAACGGAATGTTGTTTGTTTCTGAAAATTTTCTAATAAAAGAATTTTAAAAAATCTATTCTTATCAGTGTCCAGTAGGGGTGCTCCGTCGTCATTCTTGCCTCTTGGCAAGGATGGTTGGCTGTATAATACCCCTGCTGGTATGATGGGGGTTCTGAAGGCTAGTACCGGCTGGAACAAAAACCATGGTGCCAACGGGTAGTTGGGGCCTGGGAGAAATTCCCCCGGGAAAACCAGGGGGGCCCAGTTCCTCCTGATTGAATGGATCTACCTTGTCTGGCCAGGAGCCAGGGAGGCGGAGAGTCTGTGGAACAGTGCCCCCTGAGTGGTCGCCTCAGGGGTGCTCTTAGTAGCACATGGGGGTGGGATCCCAAGTATGAAACGTGCAAACGGTCACTGATCCAAACACTTTTTCTGATTGCACTGCGCCTTTTGGCTAAGTCCAGGGCAGTTTTTATGCTACAGGCCTCAGGGCCTAGCCAGTGCACAATGGCCACTTTTTTATTTTTACTTATTTATTTATTTTTCTCCCACTGTTGAGTCACTTTCGCTTATGTGTGTGTTTTTTTTTTCTCATGGATGGTAGGGTGTGGGTTCTTGGGCCTGCCCTGAATTCTAGGGGGAGGATGTGTGGCTTTTGGTTCCTTCCTCACCTGTTCCTGACCTAGTTCTTGGTGGCTGGCTTCGGCTAGCCACAAGGAAAGGGGTCCGCAGGCCTTTTGGCTAGGTGGACCATGTGGAAACCTCAGTCCCTGTCAGGAGCTTCATGCCCCGGGGGATCAGGGTAGAGGTCCTGCCCCTTCATGGACTAAAGCACACCCCTAAGTGCACTTTTTTGTGTTGGTATTTTGCACTTGCACGTTTTTTGTTCACTTCTGTTTTTTTTTGTGTTTTTCGCACCTCTGCGTACTGAGAAAAAAAAAATTAAAATAAAGAGAGGGTCACCAACACAAAACCATCTCAATCCCTTAAAAAGAAGTCTCACTTCCATTTTCATTAATGTGTTTAGTTCCCAGTGCGACAAAGTACCTGTAGTATCCTCTGGCTAGCTGCGAGGTTGAACAGGGCACACCATCCAACAACGCAGGCAGCAAGGAGATTGCTGCTTTGACAGATAGCACTTTTCATTTGCAAGCACTTGCCCACCTGCCTGGAACTATTTAGGTGTTGAGCCATGCATTCCTTTGAGATGCTTGTCAAGGAGAAGTGACCTGTCCAGCCTCATTGCTAGCCTTAGGCTCACTTAGGAAGATGGGACAAAGCATTACATGCTATCAACCAGAAGTTACCACCAAACGCATTTCATTATTTTACATTTTGTATTAAGGAAGGTAGAGCTGACACCTGTAGGGACAGGGGGGTGGGGTTACACATTTAAGTACTATAGATGTTTAAAATGCACAACAACTACAACCTTGTTATATTTACATTATTATACGTTACACTGTGTGACATACTGCCTGGTACCCCTCCTGGGTGCTTCTGTCACAAAAGTGCTTCCTCGCTGCTAGGACACAGGACCAAGGTATTATAGCTGGGCATTGCACCCAAGGACTAGACAAGACTAGCTTAGGTGCAGCTGGAACTTATTTATTGAACAGAAATACAGGTTTTTATACACTTCAGAAATTAGGGCAGCCCCCACATGAACAATAAAAACAAATATTGCACATTGAGATAAACATCACACACTGATTAGTTAACGAGGCAAAGTTGGCACAAGACTAATCCCATCATGTAGGAATCTCCAGGAGGACTAGCCAACAGACAGGATAGAAACAATAGGTGACTTAATTAACAATGAGACAAAGACACAGTAAACACATCACACCATAATAAACAAATTACAACAAGAGACCTCAGCATCAGGTTGTTTTGAGCTGATTACATTAACATCTGCATAGAGTCTTTGAATCTCGGCGGAGGGGTGAAGCAGTCAATGCTGGTTTGGGCACAGAGGCCCCAAATCTGTATCTGGGTCAACCAGTTCTGTGTGTTTCGGAGAGATATGAACTTGAATCTGAAGTAAAACTACTCCAAAGGTCCCCCCAGGCATACATCCAGGCAAAAATCTGTAACTGGGTACTCAAATTCTGTATATTTCGGGGAGACATGAACTTGAATCTGAAGTAAAACTACTCCAAAGGTCCCCCCAGGCATACATCCAGGCATAAATCTGTATCTGGGTACTCAAATTCTGTATATTTCGGGGAGACATGAACTTGAATCTGAAGTAAAACTACTCCAACGGTCCCCCCAGGCATACATCCAGGCATAAATCTGTATCTGGGTACTCAAATTCTGTATATTTCGGAGAGACATGAACTTGAATCTGAAGTAAAAACTACTCCAAAGGTCCCCCCAGGCATACATCCAGGCATAAATCTGTAACTGGGTACTCAAATTCTGTATATTTCGGGGAGACATGAACTTGAATCTGAAGTAAAACTACTCCAAAGGTCCTCCCAGGCATACATCCAGGCATAAATCTGTATCTGGGTACTCAAATTCTGTATATTTAGGGGAGACATGAACTTGAATCTGAAGTAAAACTACTCCAAAGGTCCCCCCAGGCATACATCCAGGCATAAATCTGTATCTGGGTACTCAAATTCTGTATATTTCGAGGAGACATGAACTTGAATCTGAAGTAAAACTACTCCAAAGGTCCCCCCAGGCATACATCCAGGCATAAATCTGTAACTGGGTACTCAAATTCTGTATATTTTCGGGGAGACATGAACTTGAATCTGAAGTAAAACTACTCCAAAGGTCCCCCCAGGCATACATCCAGGCATAAATCTGTAACTGGGTACTCAAATTCTGTATATTTCGGGGAGACATGAACTTGAATCTGAAGTAAAACTACTCCAAAGGTCCCCCCAGGCATACATCCAGGCATAAATCTGTAACTGGGTACTCAAATTCTGTATATTTCGGGGAGACATGAACTTGAATCTGAAGTAAAACTACTCCAAAGGTCCTCCCAGGCATACATCCAGGCATAAATCTGTATCTGGGTACTCAAATTCTGTATATTTCGGGGAGACATGAACTTGAATCTGAAGTAAAACTACTCCAAAGGTCCCCCCAGGCATACATCCAGGCATAAATCTGTAACTGGGTACTCAAATTCCGTATATTTCGGGGAGACATGAACTTGAATCTGAAGTAAA